GTTAGGGGAAGGTTTGTGGGGGTGGAAGGTGGTTCTTGGTCGGGTGTTGTTATTGCTATTGTTGTTGTTGTTGCTGCTGCTGCTGTTTGTGGTGGTGGTGGTGATGGTGAAGGGGTGTTCGGGGTGAGGGTGCAGCGGGGGTATATGGTATGTGGGGAGCATGGCGAAGGCAAGAGTGTCGCAGAAGGAGTGGCTCAGAGATGGCGAGTGTGGTATACTCGGTAGTTGCTCGGTGAAGATGGGTACGAAGGGCTGTAGATAGGGGGGAGGAGGGGGGGGCATGGCCATCGGGTTGATGACCGGTCCATAGTCTGGACTCTGGTAAGCTGGGGCTGGGGCTGGAGCCATTGAAACAAGCGGGGTGCTGCTCTCGTTAGCTCGAAGACGTTGATTCCACGGGTAGAGAGGACGCACTCTGGGGAGATGGGTGAAGGAGGTATGGCCAAGTTCTGCGCGACTCGAGGGGGGGTCGAATAACCTGCCACGTATGCCGGGGGAATTACACAGCTTGGGCTTTTGGTGGGACCAGCAACAGGCCTTGTAGGTGAGCTCGTTCGAGCCAGAGTGACAACGAGACTTTGTCCATCCCATCCGTTGGTGGAGAGTCTATCTGAGCATTCGGTTAGTTACCGTCAACTCATCTTCATGCTCCGGTAATCTCACGTACGGTATGTGCGCCATGCTTCATCTTCGTTCTTCACAATGATTTGCCCCAAACCAGTGGGAAACCCGTGCTGGTCGTCGTATACAACTGCCTGTCGGATATGCAAGGCCGTCTGGCGTACCATGTCCTTGAGTTCTTGCCAGCGGCAGTGGGCTGGAATCTGTTCTCTCAGTAAGCCACGCCATCTGGCTCAGCTGGGAAAAACTTGATCGGTGCTTACCCCTTGGAGAAACAGAACGAACTCTTCATCTGATGCTCGAGCTCGAGCTCGTCCTCTGTCGCGTGAAGGCATGATGATAGCGGAGTTGGTCCAGGTCACGGACTCTGCAGCAATTGGGAGTCCCGGAGAGATCTCTTTCTTCAATGAGGCAAGTCAAGAAGAGTTCTTCAAGTCAGGCAGACCTGTCCTCTGGACCCAAAATATAGAGTGACAGCGAAAGGGGGATAAGTCAGGCTGGGTCACTGCCCGAAAAAGCAACGGTCTGGAAGATTGGTGAGAGTCAGCATGGGTGTCTGACATTCTACTCGGTCAACAACTAATCAAGGGTGAGCCGGATAACCAGGACTGGTCATTCCTACCTAAAGGCCTGACTTCTCCTTCACTTTGGGGCGTACTGGTGGCAAAGTTGAACCTGATGGCTACCTGATGGCAGAATCGGAGAACAAATGGGTCGTGGTAGGATACCACGCAAACCCCTGGCCTATTTGACGATGAAAGGAAGGAGGAGATATAGAGGAAGAGAAAGCTGAAAACCAGGTCGTTTTATTCTCTGCAATTTTCAAGGGGAGATGATCGTACCCCGATATTCAATGTTGAAGACACGGCGATAGTGATAATAGTAAACAGAAAAGAGATCTGGCATCAACAGCCACAAGTTTCTCTACTCGTCTAGCGTAGAGTGAAATTGGTGACTTGCCTATCCGGAGATGGGATGTATCAACTTCTTGTTGGAGGAGATCGAGTCTGTCTGTCCTGCATAGAGGAATCAGTGGAGCGGTGCAGAGAGAAGACGATATGCCATGCATCGATCAACTGTGACAGATCAGATAGAAGACACAGAGAACAATTCTCGAAACAAAGGGACTCTTTTCCAGAAGGTCCTCTTTCGGTCCTGATTTATGTGTAGTAGAAGCAGTCTGAGGCGATCACCAGTTCTCTTACATACTCCGACATCTGATGTGAAACTGAAGATTATCAAGTATCCTGGGAGCGACGCAGTAGTCACTGTATATCTACGACGAGGACACAGCGCTTAGCGTCTTCAGGTTACACCGCCAGATCTGGAGGATCAGACACGAATGGCTACTGGTTAGAGAAGTCGAGGCGGTCCGTCACCTGCATTTCGTTCGATTAATTCAGTAGTAGATGGTTGAGGATGGGTAGGTATTGTGGGTTTGGCTGCCAGTCCATCTGCTTCGATGAGTATCCCTCCCTTAAGGCGAAGAGATGACGATGATGATGATGATGGATGGACAGAGTGGAAATCTTTCAGAGATCCATAATGTGCGGGTTCTCCAAAAATAGGCATGATCACAATGGTCTTGTCAGCCATGACCAACAACGAATCGATGCGTCGAATAAGCATGTAATAATGACAAGACATTGATACTGACATTGTCTGACCACCGAAGAAGTGCTCTCAAGTCATCCCTTGATTCCATCCAACTCGTCCATCCAGATAATTGATCATTCGAGGCCCATCCGAGATCTGTCAGGGATCACCCTTGGACTGCCGTCGTGCATATGAGCTATCAACCACCGCCTCGCCACAGTCACCGCTTCAATCACCTCCCTCACTCTTCGCTTTTTCCAGTCTGTCATTCGTCCACATCCGAGAGGCGAAAGAATGTCGCACAACCCACAGAGACGCCTTATACAGGCAGAGAAATAAAGAAAGCCGCATATAGCAGACCGGAGTCGAAGGAGAAAGGGAAAACAGGCACCCCAGGTGACTGTGTTGTTCAAAGAAACTGACTAAGACCAGGGAGTTGAAGCCGTGCAGGGTACAGATATGTGCAATGGCTCAGCTGAGAGAACGATACTTGATTCATCCTGGACTTGGATTCCAAATCATGATGCCTTGATGCGAGAGTCTTTCCTTGACATGGTGGATCTCTCAGCTTGCATCGTTTGACAGTTTGATGGAAGAGGAACAAACGACTTAACCTTTCAATGACATGAGCTTATTGTCCCTGTCATGATACTTTATGTTTAATTTGGAGATAAGTTTATCCCTCTGCAGATTGTGCCTTGTTCCTGATGCTCAAGCTGTTGCCTCCGTGGCTCTGAGCATGTCCAGCCCTTTAAATCATTCAGTCTCTCAAGAGATTGAGTAGATCCCATCAGTGAACATCCTCATCGTAAGCATGTCTTTCGTTCACTTTCTATGAAGCTTGCTGTCATATGTGCTATATATGCTGTATATACTAGACAGGGAGTATGATCTTTGGCATTCGCACTAAGAGTTAAGACTGCCGAGATCATCCATCTCTTACTCCTTGAACATAAAATACAATAGTCTATGCAGATCGATCAATAGACTCTCTCGTGGTGCTGGATTGATCTTTCACTGGATAATTGCTCTTCAGTCCGAAATAGCTCCACACCCCTTGATATTGGCTGCGAAGATCATTTCGCCAACACTGAACAACTGTGGATCTTCTCAGTCCTCTCTCCTCCTCAAATCGGAACCTGCCCATGATAGTTCTACTCACCAAGGGTCCGCAAGGGACGGCGGTATCCGGAATGCCACACGACCCTAAAACAACCATTGAGGTTAAGACGGTATTGCTGATCATCATGACATTGTGGACTTAGCATATCGCTGCAAGCTACACTTCCGGTACAAAATCGAGTCTTTGCAGGCTAGTCACCATCCGGACATGGTATGTCTGTGGGATCCTCCAGAAAGTCCTGCTGCTGTTCCCTCCTCATCCACCACAAGAACAATGGAGTGATCCACTCGAATACCGTGGCAAACACAGCGCCCCTGTCATGAGCCGGCATCCAGCCTCTGACTGCGGCTTGATGGGCAGCTTCCACTTTCTTTCGCTGAATGTGTTCGAAGAAGCGGAAGGAGGTCTTGGAGTCATCTGTCCCGTAACGCGAGAGGACCTCGGCGAATTTGATCGCATCCTCCAGGGCATGACCGATGCTCTCGCCTTTGGGGGGCATCTAGTTCGGAATGTGTCAGTATGATATGTTTCCGGGTGATATATCCTTTACGAACCGCATGAGCAGCGTCTCCCAGGAGCAGCACCCGGTCAGTGGCCCATTGCCCGTTAGGAGGGAGGAGGTAGATCGGATAAAAAGTCCAGTCCTCCACAGCCTCGATGAATTTCTCAGCTTCAGGGATGGCCGACTGCTGCGTGATCCTCATCCCTTCCTTGCGGACCATCTCCTGATCCTTCTCCAGCAACTTCCACCCTTCTCGGGACCCTTGCTCCTCCGTCCGCATCAGCACAACCACGTAGACGAGCGCCCGGTCATGGTCGCAGAAGGTCGTCATCACAGACCCATACCGGGACATCAGCAGCGCTGTATCCTTGAAAAACGGCCTGCCATTCTCCCCAAGCACAGCCTTCACCTCGACAAAGCCATACGCAGCAGCAACTCCCGAATACGAGGGCTTCCGGTCCGGCTGCACAAGCACACCGCGAACAGCAGAATGAATCCCATCGCAGCCCAGCACCATATCCCCCACGGCACTCGTGCCGTCCTCAAAGTAGACGCTCGCCGCATCAGCACCAGGGAGCTCCTCGATCCTCCCCAGCTTCTTGCCATACTCTATCTTCACGGCGGGTAACGCGCAATAACCCGCAACATCGCCTGCAGGAGCTCATACCGCTTCACCCGCCAGCCCTTGTACCCGCCGAACCCGGTCCCCTCGGGACCAGTATAGTCAATCACCCCGATCTCCTTGCCCGTCCGCAGGGAGAGAATCTGGATGGCGTCGACCTCGCAGCCGGCCTTCATCTGCTCTAATTCCTCGAAGACTCCGAGCATGTCCAGACATCGGAGGGCTTTGGGGGTGAGATTCACCGGGTCGCCGAGGGTGCTGGGGACGCTGCGGAGCTCGTACACTGTGATGCTGAGGTTAGTCTGTGATGGGGAGAGGGCCTTTGAGATGGAGATGGCGGAGGCGAGGCCACACATGCCACCGCCGATGATGATGATGTTTGGCATTGCGCGGTATTCATTCATTCATCTTTTTCCGTTGCGGTTCACTCCAAAGGACTCGGATGGAGAGTCAAACTGCCATGTCTTTATACTTTGACCCGAAATGTGGTTAGTATTTTGCAGGTATGGGAATGCGAATACGAGGACTAAGGCACCGCACACGCCACAGCTGCTTCACCCGTCCGTTGTCTTTGCTGTGGTTCATCAACTCAATACGAGGAGCTGAAGTCTGCTTGACTTGGGCGACAATGTTCCCAAGAATAGATAGACTGTGAGCTTGGTTAGAGCTCAACAAGGAAGCAACTATGTAAGGCTGCCTGTACAGACGCTACAACATTGGCCCCGACAGCGCATCGACTATCTGTCTTCTGGATCTCCAGAGCCCTTCTGTATCTCATCCTACCCAAAATAAACTGCGATAACTCGACGAAACCCGTTCCATCAGCCAAAATCTTGACCAAGACCTCGCTCTTCAGCGGAACATACCTCAGGTAGCGTCTGAAAAGCACAGAAGTCACAACAGACACCCAACGGTCCAATCGAACCATCATCTAAATCTCACTTCAACTGAAGATGGAATCTCACTTAAACTGAAGATGCACTGCGAGTCTGCGACTTGCCATGGCTAAAGCATTACCTACGGGGTAGATAGAGCTCAAGACCCGCCGATCAGCGCCTTATCTAATTCAACAATCAATAGCTGAAATTGAATACACACCCCACGGGCCGCCACATGGAATGATGCCCGGGGATAAAAGGGGTTCCCGGTTCCCGGTTCCCTCTGCTATATCCTTCAATCTTAATATTCCACTGGGATCTGATTTACTATATCCTAGGTAGCAGTATCAACTCAACATACGGAAGAAAGACAAGAAAACGAGAACCGGAAATGCTCGAGATGGCCAGGTTGTACAATTGCTGCTGTGCGACGCTGAAACCAGGCCACGGTGATCGGCAGCAAGGGGGAGGGGTAGTAAGAGTTTAACCCCTCTGTGGAGTATCCCCCTAACTACGTGTTGTACTAGTGTGTTAGATAGTCTACGACTCTCCTGTAAGTTGGAATGAGGGGTGCGGCGGTGCCTGGATACTCCGCACGGCAGGTTGCACAGAAAGTGAAAGTCACGACAGTATGCCTCCCTTGTTTTGATATTACTCGTTCCCTGGTTTTGATGTGAGGGGCAAGTACCTTACTCTCCTGCTGTGCTTGAAGAACCGGATGGACGGAGGCACGTTGTTCTGATGGCGGAGGCTCAGCTTTGTGATTGCGTTCGGACGAATCCAAGGATCTTGAATGAGGAGTATCAGTCAACCCTGATTTGATATTTGAGACAGATGGGGTTAATGAAAGCCACGGTGATAGTGTTGGTAATGATCGCGGGGGCAATGGTCTGCAGTTGGTAGACGGGGCGTTCTTGCGCTTGCGAGATGATTGGTGCTGATCGCTGGAAAGCTGAGGATTTACATTGTGATGGACAAGACGGGCGTGCCACGATCTACGCTGGGAACGGGGTACTGATAGTTAGAAGCTATGGCGGTCTTTGGGATGCTGACGGATTCGTCCATTGGTATGCTTATTGAGTGGTTGTATTCATCGCTAGCTAGAGTAGCCTCCTGATAACAAACGCAGAAAAGAGAACAAAGTATATCAGAAACATGAAGGAAGCCTTCTGGGTATTATGATGACGGAAAAAAATGTCGCTAAGCTCAGTATGAACGAGATGAAGACACCAATAGCCCACACAAAGGAAATGGAAATAGTACGCAGGGTATATCGCGCTTCGCTAGAGTGATTTCTTGAATCTATGCTATCATCGTCGCGCCTCTCCTGTTTCGAGTTGGCTGCATGGGTAGAAGTCGACGACTTGGAGCCAACACGACATCGCCGTTGCATTGACGTCAACACATAGAGCGTACCGTCTTGCAAACCATATCATCAAAGTGATGCGTCGTCGTCGTGCTCCGAGGAACATACAACCAACGCATGATGCAGACAGTGAGGTGAGAGTTGTTCACACGACGAGATGGGTACTCTCGGGGAATCGATCGAAGGCTGTAAAAAGTCCACGAACTCGATGTTATGCAAAGCGTCAACCGTCCAGTGTATCCCAATAATAGCGTCGAGTGAACGGCGAATAGAGAAAAGCATCACGAGAACCATGTCAAAGCTCCGTTTATAGGTTGAACAACGAAAGAATTGTGTTCATTATGACAGCGACCCGTTTATTCTTTTCATACTCCGTACCATGTGAATTTTACCCAATTCACGATCGAGTTGTCAGAGGCGAGCTCCTCAGCGAATGAAGCCGACCATGGATGCGCAACGGCTGCAGTAATACGAATTCATGCCGAACCGAACAACGCCTGGTGAAGATTCGTTTTCGAGGCTCATAGAGCGCTGGCACCTCGAACAACGGACGATATCGAAGTTCATAGAGGCAGGTCCCGAATCGGTGGTTGAGGGCGAGGTAACCGGCTTGGTGCCGCTGGAGGGTTGATGTTGGACTTGGACGGACGGCGAGCTCATTTTCACTATTCAGAGAATCGGAGCTGACAGCAATAAGAGGAACAGTTGGTCGAAATATGCGACCGACAAATCGCAAAAATCGGGCCCAGGCTCCTTGGGGGGCGATTGGAGGCGATTGGAGGCGATTGGTAAAGTCGAGAAAAACAGGGAATCAGAGGCGATGCGTGGGATAAACTCCGGTCAAAAGCAGGGTTTGCAGAAGGAATTCACTGAAATATTGGTCGATTTGTGCTGTGATCAACTTTGTATTCCAGTGAATCCTTGAGCAAACCTGACCTGCTGGTGATGGGGAGAGAGAAGGAGGAAGAAAGGCGTGCGATTTCAGCTGCTGATAGATATTCAAGATGCCAGCCAGTGGAGGGGAGTGGAAGTATCTCCAGGTATAAATTATTGTTAGCGTACCACCGCCGGGCCCCGTAGATTGTTGTCCAAAGGGTCAGATCGACCCACTTTCCAGTTTTTGTCTTTCTTTTTCTCTCTCTTTTTTCTTTTTCTTCTAGCTAGTACTAGTAGAAGAGACTAGTCACTAGAAAGAAAAAGAGGGCGAAAAAGATTTCCGACTAGTATGAAAGAAAGGAGAAATGAAGCGCAGCAATCAATTTCCAATCAGGCAATACTGTAAAGTGGTCTGAGATGGAATGTGGCTTCGGTTTCAGGCTGACGCTCATGCAGTCAATCAATCTGATCTTTGGAGGTCGGAAATATTATCCCTTATTATGGGTTGTTGTGAGCTGGAAGGATGATGTCGATATCAAGATATGGTGATGATGAGGAGCATGATGCAGTAGATCGTATGAAGTAGTACAAAGCACTGAAGAACCTGCTCTGTGACTGTTGTTTGTGACAAGGTGAAGAGTACCTATGGATGGAGTTTAATAGGCACCTACTGGAGAAGTTGAGGGCAAACTAGCAGCTTCTATGGATCAACACTGGCATTGTTGATGATTCTCCTATGATCGAAGATAATAATGGCATTGACTGAGTACGTACGAAGCTACCACACCAGAAATACTATCATATTATTGTCATGAGTGCCCTGAAACTTGCTGTCATTGCAGAAAATCCAGAGGGTTCGCCGACTGGCGGGTTACGCTTCGCCAATGAGGACAGCCAACTGTATACAGAGAAGTACGAGTACGTAGATCCCATCGGAACCAATCCTTTTCTGGGATGGTTCCATGTGTCTTCAGTTTTCTTTACAACGGTTTTTCTCTAAGCCCCCAATAGAATTCCCCCATGAGCTTCCGAGGCTCGACAGTCATGTCGTCATGGCCTGGTTCAACCAGGTTTATTGATTAAAAGTCATCTTATCCCGTCAGCCACTTATTCAAATCGATCTTTCCAGTCCTATCCAAGTGACTATCCAGGTGTTGACATTGGATGATCAGCCAAAACCGCAGAGTGCAGGGAAAACACCACCTAGTGACTAAATAGTAATCAAACTATTACTCTTTAGTTCTACGGAGTACGGAGTATTTGAGACACGTCCCATCGGGGCGACGAAGGAGTGTCGAAGAGATAGATGTCAATTATCATAAAATCAGTATCATCTTAAACTAACGCTATGGGGCGTGTGGCTGTCCATGGCTTGTAAGTGGCTCGTTCAGCCAGATCAATGAACCGCCAGGGCTGAAAGGATGCCGATTATCCATGGTTCGGACTGTGCGATCCTCACCGTCGCACGATGACTGGGTCGAAAGATGGGAATTATTCTCCAGGCTTGCAAGCATGACGCCTTGGGTATTCTCTTTCTACGTACAGTAGGAGTCTTCCTGACTCAGTGAGCTATTACTCTGGGTTTGTAAGTCCGTAACCTCATTGTCTCTGGACCACGTAGCAGATACCAGATCACTCCTCGACCGAGGAAAAGACTAGGAAAATGAATGCGGCTATGCTGCGTTCCTTGGGGCTTTAGTGTATCCACTCTGGGCGTTTCAGAATCCAGTTCGACACGAGCTGAATTAGAATACTCGCTGAGTGAGCCTGAGTCGCTACCAGCTGATCTTTACTATCATTCCACATGTGACGGGGAGCTACTTCTGACACAGTCTCATATTCTGATCAATCTGTAACTGCCAGAGATTTACGGATGATATTGTATTAGAGACCTTTTGCACCATTGTATACTCTGTACCTCTGCAAGATTCCCAGTAGTCTAGTACTCTATTTCCCACTTCATCAACCACACGGTCCTTGTCTACTCCAGAATAAAGTTAAGGGAATGTCGAGCTTTTACTCAATTTGGGAAAAGCTTTGCCGTCACCAGCTGTTAGTAAAATGTTTCTTCGGTGTTTAGTCTAGAACTCAAGATACTTTCTGAATTTCTGATTTTAGCTTCCCCCGTCGCTTTCTATTTGGAGTTAGGACTGCGACCAGCTCTGAAACTAGTTGAACTACAGAGGACCGAGTATACAGAGATGTGCCTGAGTCCGAATTTGAGTTATGGAGAAGAACTTTATCAATAGTGGTGGTATTCTAGGAGACACTCGTTTCGAATTAGACATTGCGTGTGATGGGCACCCTTAGAAGAAGAGCATTGAGTTTACACTTTGAAGTACATCATAGAGGAACAGTGCCCCAGATAGCCTGGGAAAGGCTGCATATGAGGCAATTCAGAGAAGTAATCCCTCAGTAGAGTGAAATTTTCCCCCGTTTATCCGATTGCCGACAGATCCATGCTAACAACCATCGGACAATCCGAAACATACCTTACAATACAACACGATTTCGATCTAATGCATGGCTCCAAAGGGCCCAGGAATGTCATTGTCTTCACTCTCCAGTGTCTGATTAGACAAGCCTCTTTGCCTCTCACCAATTCGAATATAAGATACTGTCGAGAATCGCATCCATATCATCTGGTATATCTATCTTCCAACCGCTGAGAATATACGAGTAGAGGCCGAAGACCGGAAATACGGCCACAGATCTCCAACCGCCTGACCATCTCAAGCCAGAGTATACAATACCTACACAAAAGGGTCTCGAACAGATCTTCCTGACTATGGAGTGCCCTGTTTTTACTTGCAGCATGCACGACTCCGATTTTCCGTCCTGCCGCTCCTGCGTCTATGTCCTCCACTAGATTGACTCGAGGACCGGCCGCTTAGTTGTGAAATTGCGAACCTCCAAATACAGCCAGCACTATAGAGGGGGTATGGATTAGTCCACTAGAGTCGACAACGATTACCTACTTGGATAAATGTAAGGTCGTCCGGAATAAGTGCGAGAGTCCAATCTGCAGCATCTGCACGATGTTGTAATGGCGTAACCCTGAGAAGATCGTCCCTTTTCCAGTGTGGCAGCAATGCAGGAGGACGAAAATGTAACTGGTTTCTGATACTGTTGGAGTCCATCCAACCTTAGACCAATGACCTGTAACCTCTGATGTTGTTGACTTGTTGAACTCTTCCGTATCTGAATGCTGACGTGAGGGGATACGACGCTGCTGTCGTGACATCATCTCACATGTGCTGGTTAATTGTGTTGACTATGGCAAACTACCGCGATTCGAGATAACCAACACACATGCTGGACAGTTAATGGCTATAGATAAGCGGGAGGGACGAGAGAGCATTACTGTTGAGACCTGAGAGTGTTTTGCTTGGTCTCCTACCTCATCCGATTTCATGCTCTTTCTCATCAACTGGCTGCTGTACTGGGGGTGGTTTCCCCTGGAATCATGCCGACGTCATGGAAACATTCAGAACAACAGCCCACCACCTACCTACCTTATGCTACCTCGAATCAACCCAACCACTGGCATTGAAGCTTCTTCCCCCTTCTATCGCAACATTACCTAGGTAGCACACTGCTGGGAGCTGATAAGTTCTTCGACTTCCTAATTACGAACTATTTCTGCTGCACGCCGTCTTCTTGATTCGTCCTTGGTGGATAACTCAGCGCCGACTAACTGTCCCGCTACTGTACCTACCCCGCCAGTGCGCTGTTGACCGAAAACCCGCCAACACCTCGCTCGCTCTGAGCTCTCCCGTCTCACACGCAAGTCACAAAGTCACAAAACCTTCCTGGGAGGCTGCAACATAACCTTGTCCTACGATCCCTGCGCATTGTCAAAGCGACGCATTACACCATGGCCGGCACGTCCCCGAACCTCTACAGCTTTCCCAATACCGACGCTTTGGCCCAGCAGTTGAGGGCCTATGTGCTCCGGTGTCAGAACTCCGCCATCGACCGCCATAACACTTTCCGGGTCGCTGTATCGGGGGGTTCTCTACCAGCTATTCTCACCAAGGCTCTTCTCGCGCATCCAAAAGGATCTTCCGATGACACTCCTCAGTTCGATAAATGGGACATTTTCTTCGCCGACGAACGTGCCGTCCCTCTTGACCACGATGACAGCAACTACCGCCTGCTCAAGGATGAGCTACTAAGCAAGATTCCCGCCGAATTGGGCACTCCTAAAGTGCATCCCATCGCCGCCGACCATCTCAAGGACGATGACACCCAGGAGCTTGCGGACCTCTACCAGGAGGACTTGATGCGCTCGTTTGCGGCCAAGGACAGCGTCAAGCTGCCTGTCTTTGATCTCATTTTTTTGGGCTGTGGTCCCGACGGTCACACCTGCAGTCTCTTCCCCGGCCATGAACTGTTGCGAGAGAAGGATGCCTGGGTGGCCGCGGAGACCAACTCGCCCAAGCCGCCACCAAAGCGCATCACCCTCACGTTGCCTGTTGTCACCCACGCCATCAGTATCGCTTTCGTCGCCACTGGAGCCGGGAAGAAGGAGATTCTGAAGCAGATTTTCGATGCGGAAGAGGGGCGGGACCTTCCCTCGGCGCTCGTCAATCAAGGTGCTGGGGAAAAGGTGAGCTGGTTCACCGACCACGCTGCCATTGATGGGGTTGCATTCCCCAGACGTGGAAGCTTGTAAGCTGTGTTATGGATTCATGAATGGCGTTTTTTCTTGCTTTCGAGAAGAGTCAAGGGCGAAAAGTATCTCTACCTTTCACACGAGTCTTCTAGGTTTCCTGCCTGGCGTTACGGCCTAGAGATTGGATTAGTGCAGGGACGGTGACTTTGAAACAAGATTCATTCTTATCATGTGCCCACTCTCAGTTCAATATGAGTTCGTCGATTGGCCCTGGTCTTCAGTTTTTAAAAGCTAAGGCAATGGAAAAGTCCACATAGACGGTGGGGGTTGGTGTAATGGATAAGTTAAGCACATTGAATGCTCTACTCCGTATGGGCGACTGTATTCATGAACGATTACCATAATGAATTTGAAAAAATAAAACCGCACCCGTCCAGGAGCATGTCCGAAAGCTCCAAGTATCTTGATAGTTGTACAGGAAGAACTTTGAACAACTCGTGGAGATCATCACCGCCAAGCTTCGTTCTCATTGTTAGTGTTTACAGATCCTGCGTCACGTCTGACCTACCTCGCCTTTTAAAGACTTTTAAACATCCAGCCCATACCCAGTTACACTGATACTGACCCTCCATTTGGAGAAAAATAAATAAAAAAAAAATCAAACGGTCTAAAGCCAACCTCAACCATGCCCATCCCCACGCGCTCCCTTTCCCTCCGTGAACAACGCAAACAGGTTAGTGTGGCGAACCAACCCCCTGTCCAACCAGCTACGCAGTCAGTCCAAAACCCCCTGTCCTCTCTTGCCTTCGTTTCCATTACCGCACATCTATGTGGCTAGAATACTCACCATCACCCAAGTCCACCGCAGGACGCACAGCAACGAGCAAAACCACGCCAGATGGCGGTGTATCCGCAGCCGCAAGCACAACCGCGTCAACCGACCGCAGGAAAAGCCTCCTCCCCCAGCGCAGTATCCCCGTTCGTGATCGAGATGGTGCGGCACCGGTGCGGCAGCAGCAGGAGACGGGGTTACAGCGAGGGAGTCGGGTGTTGACTAAGATGCCGGCAGCGCAGCAGCAGAAGGAGGAGGGTCCTTCGGAGTGCAGCACGCCAGCGCCAGCGCCAGCGCCAGCCACGGCCACAGCGGTTACTCGACGACAGAGTTTGATACGGCCTAGCCCGTTGAAGACGGGGACAGCTACAGGCGCAGGGACGGGGACGGGAGCGAATCCGGGCGGGACGGTTCCTACAACGCCGAAGAGCGCGACGTTCGGTGGGCGGGGATTGATGACTTCACCGAGGAAACGAGATGGAGCCTCGTCAATGTCCCCGAAGAAAACGGATATGCCGCCTCCGCCGCGGCTGAACCGGTCTGCTTCGATGAGACAGCCTTTAAAAGCAGGAGCAGGAGCAGGTTCGGGGACTCCAGTTTCTGGGGTTAGGCATGTGCGGCACCGGAGCCAGATTGTTGCGCCGTCGCCGAGTCAGAGTCAGGTTTCGAAGAGGAGCGAGTCGCAGTCTTCTGGGTCAACGTCTACGACGACGGCGGCGGCGGCCGGGTTGGCGGCCGGGACGAGATCGAGTGTGCAGTTTACGACGTATCAGCAGCAGTTCTCGCCAAGGAAGGTGGTGAGACCGGCTGCTTTGTCGGCTGCCAGGGCGTCCGCGGATGAGGAGAGCTCACTGATTCCGACGACGTGGCCGGAGATTGCGTCGCTTCAAACGGAATTACTACAGCTGAGCTTGCTACATTCGTCGTCGCTACAGCGGATGGCGGCACTGGAGGCCGAGTCGGAGGAACAGCTACAGACCAAGTATGACGCGGTCGCGAAGACCTATCGCGCGATGGTTGGGGAAGAAAAGAAGTGCCAGCGGTTGCTTAATGGACAGGCCTTGAATCGCTGGCTAGAGAATGCCAGTGAACATGGTGGTCGCCAAAGCTTCGCTGCGCAGATCCAGGTCTTTTCGCAGCTCGTGCAGGAGGTGTGTGATTTGACCGACAGTCTCGGAGGGAGATATACGATGCTTGTCCAGGAATTCGAGGAATGGTTCCGGAAAGCGCAAGCGATTGAGAGCATGCGTCTCCATCGACAACAGGGAGATGCGAGCCATGTGGTTTTTATTGATCCGCTCGATCGAGTGTGGAAGGACGAGGTGCACGCCATGACTATGAAGCTTGAACAGTGCTCGAGGCAGTTGCAGAGCCTGGATATTGCGGGCTACGAGGAATCAGAGCAAGCGCTAGCTGATTCTGCACTCCTGCGCACGACCAAGGGACTAGACATGATGGTCGCTTCGATGGTGGACGAGCTGAAAGCGATACGTAGGATTGAAGCGCAGATTGTAAGGTCGGAGAGGCAGTGGGTTAGTCAGCTCACCACTGAATTGGCTGCAACCCACCCGCAAGACGCGAGGGGCCCGAGGGCTGGAATGTGGAGAACTGCGCTGTTGAGTCATAGACGTTCCTATTGGATTTATCTGATGGATCGACCACGGAATATCTATCGCTTCGGAGAGTGTGAGTACCAAAGTACGACGCACAGTAGCCAACACTGTTCCTAGCACCTACTGGCAAAGGACTGACAACTACGGCCCATACATATGTACGTTCGACGCTAGACAGCACACCAGTTGCTGGGAAGGGATGCAAACGAGAGAAGAGGGGGGAGAGCAGCGAGCAGTGAGAGAAACCACTCAAAGAACAGCTGTCTAGAGCAGGCCCACCGACAAAAAACTCAGGAAAAAGGGTTTCACAATGACACGTTCAACCCCAAACGCGTCTGTCGGTACAAGGAAGTGTCATCGACAGGGACCGAAAACCTGTTCCTCGGATGATCCATGATTTCAACCCATCTGCATTCCTGAGAGCTCACAGCTGATTATTCTATTCTTTCTTATTTTCTCTCCCATTCTTTCCTTAGCCCGCCAATGGTCTCGGCGGCATCCATGAAAATCCTGATCAGTGCAACGAGCCGCGGGTTGATATTCGGGCGGGCTATGCCTTGATTTGAACGAATCGCTTCAGTTCACGAAAATAGCCTGTTTAGTTGATCATCCACTCTACCTTGGTTTTTTTCAACCATGCAAGTCTCAGGTTCGGGGGGGAGGGGCCGTCTTAGAGGTACCGGAAGTCTGTCCTTCTTCATAAAAGTGATAGCAATCAGCCACAGAAACCTGAACTTGTGCGATGCTGGAAACAGGACGTTGGATTTCAGTGTCCAGGATTCTGCCTGGTATATTCTTAGACCTGTTTTGCGCCCAAATTCGCCTCATCGATCAGGATTTTCTGTAGGAACGGAGTTGATGAAATGATGAGCGTGGTATGACTGTTCCGCCACGAGTATCCCCATGGTCCTAGAAAGGTATCTTATGTACGGAGTAGAACCTGAGAAAAAGGCGGATAGTCAGCGGACAGTGCCACAGGAAAATCTTACTTTAAGCAGAGTAGCTGACAGACATGGGGGAACTTGTGTCCAGAGTCAAACATCTGGATTCCTGAGTCTCCTGCAATCTGCAAGCCATTCAGAGCGCTTCAAATCGCATCCAGAGACGGTGACAGGCGGGTTTGCTTGACTAAGCGGTGGAGTCAGTGCCGGCATGATCGTCGGGTCCGAGTCGGGTGTCACATTCAAATGAACTCGTGCTGAAGGGTATCAAGAATTCAAGATGGATCCTGTTGCAGGTGGTGAAAGAGAGAAAAGTCGTCAACAGCAAGAAGAGGGAATGCAGCCGTCTATAGTAGGTACCTTACTTGTCAGATGTAGAGGTGATCCCGCGATGGCACAAAAGTCATGTCTAAGTAAGAGGAAAGATGCTTAGATACAGCCCACAGTCCCATACAGAAGTCAACTACGGGTGGTTCTGGAGTCTGGATCTGCTCGACAACTGGGTGGGAATGGACCTGCCTGTAGTCAAGCGTCAAGCCCCTCTTCCAGGACCCGGTTCTTTATTTGGTTCTAGGTTCTCTCTCTTTCTATCTTATCTAGTCTACCTTACTCTCCTTCTCTTACTTTCCCTCTCTTCTTCGTCTCCCTCCCGATCCACCCCGGTTTGATCGATCATTGGTACTCTGGTGCTACTGAGATAGGCTTCATCAGATCTTGCATCTTCCTTTTCTCTTCCTCGCTTCCTCCTTCTCTTATCTGCTTCATCTTTCATCTACACATTCTTTCTTGACGAACTGTCTATCGCCTGAGCTGACGTCACTGGCTCCCAAGAGAATCCGACAGCACAGCACAAAAGTTGTTTTTCGCCTGGACGAGATGCTCCGCACGCCAGGAGACTCGAAAATCCCCCGTTTAGATTGAACATCTGGCCCCCGCTTCTGCATCGACGCCAACCATGAAGAACTCAATGTATAATCGCATCTGGCGTCGGGAGTCGGGAGACACTTCACCCTCGGCGAGTATTCGTGGTATATATGGTTCCAAGGAATGGGTTGACGATTTGGATATTGTGAATGAGCTGGGGGGCCACACTGGTTGCGTCAATGCGTTATGGTATGTGCTGCGCGACCAATAACCATGGACTTTCTCTGACGAGGTTTCTTGTGTCTGGCGGTAGTTGGTCGCGGTCTGGTCAGCTGTTGGCCTCGGGTTCTGACGATCTACACCTCAACATCTATTCCTACCAGCCGGAATCCTCGTCCGCGCCCTTTGCGCTCAACACTACCGTTTACACCGGCCACAAGGCGAATATTTTCTCGGCCAAGTTCATGCCCCATTCGAATGATCGCACGCTGGTGACGTGCGCTGGTGATTCTCAAGTGCGCGTCTTTGACATCGAGCATTCCGCAAGTAACAGCAATGTCGCGGCAACGTCTGCGTTTTCTGCGTCGGCCCGGAGCCGTCGCTTCAACAATTTCTTTAGCAATGCGCGCTACCTGAATGAAACAAACACCAACGCCAGAGTCTACCGGAGTCACGCGGATCGCGTCAAGAGGATTGTCACCGAGTCATCTCCGTACCTCTTTCTCACGTGTTCGGAGGATGGCGAGGTTCGTCAGTGGGATTTGCGCCAGCCGTCTGCCGCTTATCCGCAGCCGCGCGGGGGACAGGGCTTCATGGCGTATCGGCCGGGGCTGGAGCATGACGATTCGAATGTGCCTCCTCCGCTGATTTCGTATAAACGGTACCATCTGGATCTCAACACCATCTCGTGCTCCCCGAGTCAACCGCACTACATCGCACTGGGCGGCGCCCATTTGCATTGCTTCTTGCACGACAGGCGAATGCTCGGACGTGATCTTCTTGCGGAAAAGGGCCATCCCGGGGGTCTTTCCGACAGCGGTAGCCATCACGATGAGGAACTGATGGGACAGGCGACGAGATGTGTTCGGAGGTTTGCCCCCGGCGGCAAGAGACGAATGAGCCCACGGGATAATGGACATATCACCGCCTGTAAGATCAGCGACGCCAATCCGAACGAGATGGTTGTCAGCTGGTCCGGAGACCATATATACAGTTTTGATCTAGTTCGGAGTCCAGATGCAAACGATTCGGCATCGACGGGTCAGAAGTCCATGCATGGAAGTCCTAATTCACGTAGGCGTCGAAGTTCAAAGAACAGAAAACGTAAACGGCAAAAGGGTGCTTCACTGTCGTCTCAGTCCAGTGGCACCCGCCATCAATCCCGTCGGCGATCAGCGGGGCACGATGACAGCGGTGAGCTAGCCTTCAGAGTCCGCTATGGCAATGGGGAGATGGAGGATATCCCATTCCCCTCGCTATCCGACACGGTGTCCGACGCTCCGCAAAATGTGTTGGAGCAGGCGCAGTATTCTGTTCTGAACGAGGCACAGCAGCTTAGCATGCGTATCGCCAAAGGACTTGTCAAGCTCCGCAAGGCCCTCTTCTCCTTGGAAGCATCGGTGCGCGAAGCCACCGAGGCCTCAAGCCCATCGGACCGGACGCCGTATACTGCCTCATTTTCTACTGTGTTGACACATGCGTCGGAGCATCTGCCCCGAATGGGAGAAGTCATGCGGACATGGAGATATCCACTCGACCCGAGTCCAGACGTCGTGGGCTTTCAGCAATCTCTTCGCCGTAATCGGGAATCTGCCTGGAGATTCGTCCAAGCTGCGGGAACACTTGCACGGTTTCTGGGAGGTGAGATCCAAAGTTCTTCCGAGGATGAAGATTCGGCGATGAACCTATTCCAGCAGATAGTACCTGCACCAGGTGAAAATAACGTGATTGACACGAAAGAGCAATTTGGCTATGACTTTGTCAAAGCTATCTTGCTGTTCTTCGAAGGAGGACGGGGCGCTGTATTGTCTGGGTTCAAGAGCAATCCTTTTCACAGGCGCAACCAGGCGCGGTATCCGATTCCTGAAACAGCTGACGAGAGGGCTATCGAGTCGGTCCTGGTTCCTTACCTTCAAAGCTTGGCGGGAGACTATCCGGTGGTGAACGTCGATGCCTCGAGATTTGAACATGACAGCACTCGCACACTGTTTCCGACACAGCACGCTGCAGTTGCCGCCTTTGCAAATGCTGTGCAATTGCCCTTGGAGGACCTGGGACATTTTGCAGCCAGAGTTAATGGTGATGGTGGGACTGCACATCACGTTCGATCTCTTGACCGGGCTTCAGCAACAAGGTTCTGGGTTCTCAAGGTAGGTCGAGGCATCTTGATGGAGACAGGTACCGGTGTCAACTACGCCTTTGTGAACAGGGCCTTTGGTGGGTTGCGCACAGAAATCGAAGATCACTCGGACAGTGAGCTTGCGCAAGAGAGATTGCAAGAGGATGTCGACGGCAGTGTCGAGGAGGAGCCGATTCAAGACGTGCACCTCGTGACTTCTGGTGGCTCTATGAACGGCGACTCGACTCAGAGGCGCCTACGCACCTCCGACCCGAGTGGATTGCGGACGAATTCCACTAACGGCGGGACGGAATTTAGAGATGGGAGCTCCATTGAGCACGGCAGTGCGGCGGTCGTGAGCGAGGATGGTTTTGATGGGTCGACAGAAGAGGAAGAAGATGATGAAGAAGAGGACGATGACGATGACGAGGATGAAATAGACTTCGACATGGGACTTGGCGATTCTTCCGACGAGGACGAGGATGAGGATGAAGCCGAGGAGCGTCTCATCAACAGATATGGTTTTCGACGAACGCGAAGAGAGGATGTCGAACTTGACGTGCCTTGTTCCTCCCATACCAAAGTCTATCGGGGGCATTGTAACATCAAAACAGTCAAAGACGTCAATTACTTTGGGCTGAACGACGAGTACGTCGTGAGCGGCAGTGACTCAGGTCACATATTTATCTGGGATCGAAAAACAACGGACCTGGTCAACATACTCGAGGCAGATAGCGAAGTTGTCAATGTTGTGCAAGGTATGTCCATTTTTGACCACATCTATGGCATTAACTCACGCCTATTTGTAAGGACACCCGTACGAACCGACTCTCGCCGCTTCTGGAATCGACAACACTATCAAGATCTTCTCACCAGATCGCCATGCACAGGAAGATGCTCGCCGCGGTATTAACATCCTAGACCCTGATAACCCCGCTAACACGCTCGGTGCAAGCGTTGCCGGTATTGGCGGCCTCAAAAGTTGCAAACGCATCCACGATAGCTACCGGATCATGAGCCAGAACGACGTCGATCGTCAAGGAGGCATGAGCGAGGCGTACATCACCGTAGGTCATCTTTTGCTTCCCTTTTTGGTTCAAACTCGCGTATTCTGACACCGTCATCCTCAGAGGAGTATGCTGGCTCGGCTAGCTGCTACTTTACGGCAAAGACAGACTGTTGGAGGTGCATTGGTAGACGGAGCGGGCGAGGGCGCTACCATCGTTCTGGACGAGAATTGCACTGTAAGCTCCCAGGCTATTCTCGGCGTCTCTATGGTTTCAAGACTAAACATGTTCTGTGCAGGTGATGTAAGTCCGCCTCGGTGGATGGTCCCGAAGTGTGGTGCAACATGGTCACTCATTCTCTGAATGGGAACAGGAAGCTTGGCCATGCCTTCGATTCTTCAATAGTATTAGAAGCCAGGTTGCCAGCATTGTTATATACACCCTTCTTGGGACTTTGATCATGTCATTCAGTAGCAGCGTATTGTAGTAGGACTCGGGAAATGGCAATAGTCGGCAGAATCGATGGCATCGTAGCATAGTCCATACATGCATAGAATTGCAGTGCAATCAAGAGTCAATTGTGACTTTGATCTGCTTGTCAACTATCTCTTTTTTTTTTTTTTTTTTTTTTTTTTTTTTTTTTTTTTCTTGTCTTTTTACCCCGTGTTTATATTATTTCCCCTCTTTTTTTGTGGGTCCTAAAAAAAAATCAAAAAAAAAAATTCTAAATCAAAAGCTTTTTAAAAAAACTTAAAAATCCAAAATTTTCTCTTCTTTTTTTATTATTTTTTTTATCAATTTTCTCCCTCTCTTTTTTCTCTCCCTTCTTTTTTTTTCCCCCAACAACCTCCCCGTGCGACTCCACAA